CAAATCTTAGACGTCAGCATAGCAGAAGAACCAACAGCATCCACCCTACAGTCCAAACAGTCCAAAGACACAGAATAACGTCTGCAGCTCTGGCGATTCAGGAGGAGAGGAAAGCGAAAAGCCCTGGTGGTGGTGGGGAGGATACTTGATGTGCCCCCGGTCACTGCCGCCGTAGGGCTTTGGGGGATGTATAGTTGTTGTTGTTAGGGCGGGATGAATGATGGTGTGGTGAAGCAGGCTCTTTGTCTCGAGTTTTCATAATTTTTTGAAGAGGAATGGGAATCAGATTATAGGCTGGGATATTTACTGGTTGGGGTGTGTAGGATGTGGTGATTCAGTCGTTCGTGTTTTCGTCTGTGTGATCCCCTTGCATATCCTCGTCCTCATTCCCCTTTTCGTTGTCCTCCTCCTCCTCCCCTTCTCCCTCCCTCTTCTCCTTTCCTCAATCCCCTCGCTTACCCCCTCACTACCCACCCCCATGCCCTCTCCCCCTCCAACGCCCCCCTCCCCCAAAAACCCCAACCCCCAGCCCAACAGCCAACAGCACCAGCACCAGCACGCCCACCGCCACCGCCCTCGCTACACCCACCACAACCCCCCAGCAGCCCACCCGCTGCATCCGCCTCCCATCCCCAGCACCCCTCTGCCTTTCCAAATCCGCAACTTCATGCGGCCAGCACGCAACCCGACTCCCGCGGCGCTCAGACGGCGGCAACAAGCAGCGCAGCAGCGCGCGCGTTTCAAGTTGTGCCTTGTGCATTGCTTGGGACTCTTGGGCGTCTTGGGACTCTTGGGTTTCTTGTCTTTGGACTTTTTGTCTCTGTGTATGTGCTTCTTGTGGAATAGCGTCCAGACGAGACCGAGGAGGAGAATGCGTGACTTGCGACAGCGACAATGGAAGTACCGGGGGCTCGCTGCAAGCGGTGTGATACGTAGATGTAGAATCGCGGCGGGGGGTTGGAGAGCGTTGTTCGGCGAGCATGGCGGCGCGGTCGTAGATGCTTTGGTGGGAGAGGGTGGAGGTGCCGTGTTGGTGGTGAGGAGGCTCGTGGGCGTGGGTGGCGGTGCGGAGGGCGCCGTAGGACGGGGAGGCAGAGGAGGCAGATGATGGGATGGGGGAGAGATGGGCTGGGGAGTTGACGGTGTTAATGTTGGAGGAGGTGAAGGGTCGGGGGATGAGGAGGGAGTCTTCGTCGAAGGAGACGTGTGGGGAGGACATTTTGGCGTGTTGTTGTGGTTTTGAAATTGTTGTGTTATTATGGTGATGAATTCGTCGGGAGGTCTCTATCTTGTTTAGTACTTGCCCAGAGTCGTGTATTGGTGTAATTGTAGTTGCTTACGAGTACGCAGCAACGAAGTGGTGGAAAGATAGTTGAACGAGAGTGGGAGAGGACGGAAGAGTAGTATTAATACCCAAAAGTGAAAATAGAAATCAGGACCCTTACGCGCGATGCGAGAGATTCCGGCGCTCTCCTTCCGGGCGAAGGTCCCAAGGTTCTATCACGAAATGACGTAGACGAGTAACATACAAGGTAGTAGAGATTCAATCATTTCCATCTATTCCACAACACGTTTGCCATCGATGGTAGAAGTACAAGCTACTCAGACATATTCCACGTATCCGCTAACAATGTAAAGAATTTTTTGGCACCGACGAGACCAGATGTGACAATATCGAAGAGTCGGCAAGACGAGGAAGGGCACGCTTACGGACAAGCGCCCAATTACACTATGGAGCGTGACAGCGCCACAACGCAGCTGAGGATTGGAGACGAGGTGTATGTACGGGTGATGCGAAACAAGATGCGTAGTATTATACAGGAAGAATAAGAATGGTTCGGCCGTTGAGTTTGCAAGTGACTATGCGGTGGATTGCTGCGCGCGTCGCTTTGGGTTGGCAGCCCGCTTCTTCGGCGTCTTCTTGGGACTGTCGCCCTCGATATATTTGAGAAGCTCCTCGATGCTACGCTGATCGAGGTTCCCAGTCGTCCGACCGGGGGTCGCGATATTGGACGCGGCGTCAGATGTCTGTCCGACTTGAGGCTGAGGCCGCATGGCGCCGCCGATATGGACGCGTCTGATCTTTCTCTCCTGCAAGTCTTTCGCATGTTTGGCATGCGCAACGGCATTCGACGTAAGCTGGCTAAGCCATGACTCGGCCTCTTTTGTGTTACGATCTTCGGCACCCAGTACGTTGTTGAAGATGTTGTATGAATCACGCATCTTGTTGACTGCTTGGTGCATGTCCTTGTCGAGAGCAAGGGCTTGCGACAGCTGGAACAGTAGAGTCGCTGCATTGATCGACTGCTTGCCTGATACCTCTTCGCAGATGGCGAGCGACTCCTCGAACCAAAGTCGTGACTCATGATACATCTTGGATGTTTGAAGCATAACTGCAGCGTTATTGATGGTGGTTACAGAGTCAGGATGCTTTGGACCGTAGATGATCTTCCATAAATTGAGCGCATGAAGCACATATGTCAGAGCAGCTTTGGTGTTTCCGCTCCAATGTTCGAACAAGCCTAGATTCAGGTAGTTCAGAACAGTCTCGGCGTGGTCAACACCTAAGGTGCGCTCCGAAACAACCACTGCCTTGTGTGCAAGTTCGACGGCAGGCGCCTTCTCGTCTAATGTGTACAAAAGATTAGACAACTGGTGGTACAATCTCGCAACTTCAGGGTGGAGAGGACCATAGATTGTCTCGTGAAGTGATAGGGATTCGAGCAAGAGCTCTCGTCCAAGCTCCTTCTGATCGGAGGCTAGCGACACACGACCGGCTTCCAGAGCCTCCTCAGCCAAGACGCTCTTGGGTGATGCTTCCTTGATTACGGGAACCACATTTAGAATGTCATCGGGTCGGAAAGTCTGAGCCGGGCCAACCTGAGCCGAAGCGCGGGTTGGGGATGAAGTATCACCGCCCTTCTTCTTCTTCTTGCTTGTACCGTTGGTGTGACCGTTGGTAAGCTCTGGCGAAGCAGTTTTGGCAACAGGGGCGAAAGCATAGTCTTTGGCTTCCAACTGCAAACCCATCTTGAGAGCTATTTCACGAAGCACTTGAAGATGTTTGCCCGAATCTATCCAAGAGTCACCGAGATTGTAGCGGAATCGAGTGGAAATCTCTTTGATAATTTCAGTTTGAAGTCTTTCTGGCGTATAAGCTTCGTAACTGAAGTCAGCGTCAGAATAAATAGATTTGAGGGAGGGATCAGTCTCGGCGTGTGGGTTCGCATTGAGACCTGTTCCAATTGCGCAGTTCAGTAGGTGTGCAAGGCACGCTGTGGCGCACGGCGAAGCAACATTACGCAGCAGCCGGTTGGCGACATGCTTGAAGCCACGAGCAATCATCTCTTGTACTACAAGCAGCTTCAAGGCCTGAAGACGGGAATCTTCCTTGTCTGCCGACGACGCCAGCTTACCAAGATAGCGGATGTTGATACCACGCTTGTGCAACAGCGCACTCAACGACTGTCCATCCATGGGAAAGCCGACTTCGCCATCTTGGAGTTCTTTGATCAAGCCCGGGATGACTTCATTCAGAAGATGGTTACAAGCAGACCTGACCTCAGCTTCGTCGAGTGCCCATTCTGCTTTATCCTCTTCAGACTGAGGTGCCTGGCCACAAAACACGTCTGGGTTCAATGCAAACTGAAAGTCGCTGATATCGATACGCTCCTGGAGTTTTTCCTCGGGCTTGTCTTTTTTCTCCACTTGACCGCCTTCAGTTTCGGTTGCGGTTTCAGATTCTGGGGCAGTCTCTTTTTCGGTAGGCTTGTTCCTCAGTTCGTCTCTCTTCTTCTCCACGAATTTAGACAGCTTGACGCGACCGTAGGATTCGACTAGCTCTGGACGCAAGACAGCCATACGATGGGGGTAGTCCTTTTCCTGATCTTGGATTTCGCCTTCTTTTGATCTTTCACTCCAGTGTTGCTCAATCCAGTCAACGTCGATAGGCGTTATGCGATACAAATCGAGGGCGTATTTTCTGGCATCTGTTCCAATGAGACCCTTGGTCTCAACACTGCCCTCCAGTTCGTGTCGCACTAATTCTTTGTCCCAGACAGGGTGCTTCTTGACCTTTAATGCCTTTGAGACTTTTTCAAATAGTGGCACAAACGACTCGTGCACTGCGACAATGTCCTTTCCTTCAACACCACCGTAATCGATTTGATGCTCTCCCGGCTCTCGCTGCTTGAATATACCAGGAACAATGCTCTGACATACAATTCGTTTTCCCATGTAGTCCACTATCACTGTACCAGGCGTAAATAGGCCGTCGATATCGAGATTGTTGACTGCACGGACACCAGCTACGTCTTTTCCAGTAGCGACACGTGCAGCCTCGTCGCCACCGTCGGTTGTAAAGGTTCCGACACCATCAGCACCGAAAGAAAAGAAGATGTTGTTGTATACAAAGATCTGCGCATCCTTGGCTTCTGTAGGATTCAAGGGCTGAACTTCCCCACGCGCTACCAACAGTGCGCCTCGGGTGGCAGCCTCGTTGTAATCGGCAAAGAGTTTTGATGTCAGACGTTCCCTGAACACACGGTCTTGCACAGTATCTTTTGGCATTTCTCTCGTGGACTGAAACTCTTCATTCCAGTCTCTTAGAGAGTCAGTATTATCAACGCCTGCGATGAGATAGGTTTCCTGTGTTCGCGTAATGTCTGCCGAGTGCGCAAGAGCCTCAGCAGTGGGTGCAGGCACGAGCCATGGGTTGGCGGGCATGGCATTTGGCAATGGTAGGTAAGAAAGCATCTCACGTTCACTATTATGTTCTTGAAGCGATGTAAAGGAGGTGTCAAACGATGGTGAAATCTTTGACAGCAACGTCAAGAGCGAGTGCGCCGAGAAGTCCTTGGGGGCGGCCCTGGGAGATGGATCAAACTTGTTGCTTGAGGATTTGTTCACGAAGAATCCTCCAACATGTGCGGTAATTTGATGTTGTTCACCCTCGTTATTTGTAACCTGTAAATATAGGAGGTGTCCTTTGGAGCGGAGGTGGTACGGAGGAGGGTTCCAGGGTGAGACGGACACGTTCTTGACAGTCTTGGGCGGCGGTGAACGTGGTGATGGTATAATGGTCTTCAACGATGCCGGAGCATTGAAGTCGTACGCCGAGATATTGGGAAGCTTTGCCCCATCCGCTGAGCCATTGGTCACTGGCGTCAGGACTTCGTTCTGAGCGATGTCGTCATGAACAGAAAGTCCAGACATGACTCCATGTATAGAATCAATACGATCTCCGGCAGCACCGATAAGCTCTCGTATCCTGATGACGTGAAAACGCGCCTCTTTCTCGGTATATGGATCCTCGACGAGTTTGAGGTTCGGATCGGTCTTCAGTCCCGAGACCTCGGACAGCTCGACGAAATCGTTGATTCGTGTACCATTATGCTCCAAGTGGAAGCAAGAGTATTGCAGAGTATTCGGCTGTTCGATGATGGTCTGTCTCAAATCTTGTACCTGTTCGGAGGTGGAAAGCTATTTTGCATTAGACCAAGCGTGCTCAGGGACAGAGTGGACACGCACCATAATTTGTATTTTGGTTGGCTTATGCGGCAGGTGAATGGTGACCTCGAAGTAGTCTGATATACCAGTCAGTTTGGAGATGGACTATTGACGTAATAGTCATTGACTGACTCTCTTCTTGTGCGCCATTCTGGGCATTGTCGCCATTCTGGTCTCCATCGGCCCGCTCGCCATTCTGTTTGCTATCACCGTCGGATGCTGGGACGGTCTCTAGTATAACACATCGTTAGCATGTTTCAAACGAAGAAGACATCCGTTGTCAAAGGAGTCATCCGCGGTTGGATAGATGGGAGGCATACGAGATGTCGAAGCGTCATTAGTGTCGATAGCAGCCATGGTGAGGATAGCTGTGTCAGGTAGGATGCAGGCAGCGAATTACGACCAAATGCAGCCAGGGGGGAAGTAAAAGGTCTCAAACTAAGAAATAATAGATAGTAGTAGTATACAAATCATCAATTAAGAGGGTGCAATTGAGAAGACTGTCACGGAATGAATAGCTTGATGGAAGCGGGCAAAAACTTTTCGAGCTCTCTCAGTCCGGTGTCATGGATGAGTAGGTCCGAGCGCAAGCGGCTGCAGTAGCTTCGTTTTGCCAGAAGTCGCTCTGTTGGCGGCGGCGCCCGCATGAACATGGGCGGCTTGAAACGGGGATACGGATTGGGGGATTCTTGGGGGATTCTATCATCAGATGGACTGGCTATGCATGATGACCCGCTCAGCCTTATGTGCTGTCGTCCCTTTGTTTCAACTACAAACGTCTTTCTCGTCGTCGTGTATCACCTATTAATACGCCACAAAGGAATCATGTCGATTGCTGTCCGGCATTCTTGGCAACATAGGCACAGAATGAGAGGACTGTAGCCAGCATGCCCATGACATTGCCCCCCGAAAGGCACGAGCCGTTGCGGCGTAATTAGCTGTCTTCACGCTTCTACAAGGACTTCTTCCCTAGAACCTCGTCACGATCCATTCTATCTCATCAGATTTCCCATCATTGGTCGCTTTAAGTTACGGTCCGTGTTCATGCGCAAACATTACCGTCGAGTTTGACAGCTCCCAGTTCCGTTCTGCCACCCTGGAGCTTGACGCGCCAGTCCACACGCGAGTAGCGAGTACCAACCACCTTATCACGCGTCACGCGACCATATATCCTCACCCTCACATATTCGTATTTCGAGTCCTATCTTTGCGAGTGTACGAACCGTCCATCGTCCAGCGCGAGCGCGGGAGATGTTCGCGCATGGCGTGCGTCGTCAATTGACTTCTTGCGCTGGTCGTAGAACGAAAGCTCAATCCTGTCGCCCATCATATCAACTATCAAGACCAGTGTCCGCAACTTTCACCTCACAACAACATACGCGCTCTTTGACCGGCCAGTCGGGACCTCCTAGTCCAGCACCACAGACTCAGCCTGTTGACGATGCCGTCGAGCAAGCCACAGCAGGTGACCACGGTCGCGGGCATGACTGGCGTGGAACATCATTCAAGATGTTTGAATCCGCAGCTACAACTGCTGCCAGTATCTTGATCTTAGGGTGCGTATGCCTACACGTGATCTTGTATTCCAAAATTATCACCAGGTTCACTGATCATGCCATAGTCTGGTGGGCTTTTCATACACACGGTACTACAAGTCACATGTTCTCAGCAAGATGGAGAATGCGTTCGAGCCTGGTGATCCCGTGCTGGATCTTGCGGCTCGCAGTAAGCAATTCAATGGCGGCGTTCAAAGCGAGGTTGAGACTGTCGAACACTGGATTCCTAGAACAGAGCAAACCAAGATCGACGACATCGTCTCGGGTAGAACGCATGGCCAGTATCATCTTCTCATTGGTGAGAAAGGCACAGGAAAGTCGTCTGCACTCATAGAAGCTATGCGCAAGATTGACGGCGAAGGCGTCGCGATGTTCGACGCTCATGCAGATCTTGAGATCTTCCGGGTCCGGCTGGGCAAGGCCCTCGACTTTGAATACCATGAAGACAACATCGGATCTCTCTTCTCCATACGTGGACCCCGCGATGCCTCGGCACTGCTGGATATCGAACGCGCCTTTAACAAGCTAGAAAAAGTGGCCCTGAAACGTCGCAAGTCGGGCAAAAATCCTTTGGTGCTGATCATCAACAGTGCACATCTATTACGCGACGACGAAGACGGCAAGGATCTTCTTGAATTGATCCAACAGCGTGCAGAGCAATGGGCTGCGGCGAGTCTGGCAACTGTCGTCTTCAACAGCGACGACTACTGGGTCTACGAGCGGCTAAAGCAGAATGCTACCCGCATGGAGATCCATCCTATCAAGGATCTGCCAAAGGACCAGGCTCTTCAAGCTCTGAGAAGTTACCGTGTCCGCTATCGTGGCCAGGATCCTCCGGAAGAGCTTCTCGAACGCGTCTACGACTTGGTAGGTGGCCGCCTGACATATCTAAACCGTATTGCCAAGCGAGACGATATGGTGGACATGGCCGAGAAGATTTGTGAGGCGGAGAAAACATGGTTCCTCAATCAGTGCTGGATACTGGGTGAGGAGATGGACGACGATGTCATGGACCAACAGAAATATGCATCGGCCGCAATGGTCTTGGCGAAGGCTCTTGTAGACAAAGAAAAGGAGATGGGCGACGCCGCTTACGACCCTCAAAAGGGGCACCGTCTGCCAGAAATACCTTTGTTTAAAGCGCGACAGATCATGACTCGAGCAGATTTCATCCAAGACTACGATCATCGAAATCTATTCACGATAGATTCCAAAGCCAACGTAAGAGCAGGTATGTATAACAAGCCATACCGCCTCATACCATCGCATTCTAACGACATCAGATTCTGTTCCCATGCAGATGGCATTCCGCCAGATTTGTGCCGAACCTGGGTTCGACAAGTATCTAGAGGAGACACTAGACCGGATCAGTGCCATCGAGTCGCTTGGTCGTACCCGTGAGCTCACAATCAAGGACCTTTGGAACCAAGGAAAGTACGAGATCACTACCAAGGACAAGAAAGGCAATGTATCAGGCTCTATCGAAATGCAGACCATTCCCGGCACACAAGACGACGATGACGAGAAAGACGATGAGGGCGCTTGACGTAATTTGGCGAGCCCATCTGGTATGTGCTTGACTTTGGGAACTTTGTTGGCGGTATCCTACTCCTGTCGGGCAAGGTTTTGATACCCAATTCGTTTGTTGAATGCTGGAGTCCTGGGCATGATGTACGATAGATGACCTAAGAACAAGTGATAAGGCGACCATGGAAGTTGGTACCTCTGCTCTTCAGTGCTTCCTTTGCTCTAAAGATCACTCGTCGGTGAGCAGCCTGAGATCATGATCAATCATATACCGTTACCTTGCGCTCAGCCAATCAGAGCTGCGGGTGCTCTTCGGTTCAACGTTGTTAGGTGGAAGCTTTGAGACACCGCAGTGGTCCACAACACGACGTACTTCAACGACATCCATTCAATATCATTGCAATACCGTCCCGCCGTGTCGAATACTACCAAGAGCAGTCTCTTACTCACATCTACCAAGCCTATCTTCTGACTCACGCGACGTGATTCATTCTGGGTACCTTTGATAAGAACCGAGACAACGTGCTAGACGCATGTCCAGAACTTCGTCTCGTCACTACCAGAACAACCACATCTCCCACACGCCTAATCAGCATTTTCTGCAACAGACTCCTGCATTCGCATTTCATTCCGATTTTACGCTCTTCGTCGAACATCCACGGGCTTACTGCCACCCCGCTTCGTTCTTGGCGCAACCTGAACTTGCAAAATTGGCCTCTTGCAAGGAAAGTCATCAGAAATTACAGCGCTAGTAAGAGGATTTCGTATTCTCCAGATATGGCTCGTGGTGGCCGTCGCGGTGGCCGAGAGCAGTCTCGTGACGAACAGATCTCTAGAGCGCTGAGTAAGCTGTTACGGCACAATGCGCATCAGGAGAAGTTGGAGGTTCTGGGGGGTGGATGGATTAGGCTGGACATGGTTGTAAGTCTATCTACATGCTCTGTGTGATTGTTTGTGTTTGCAAATTTTGCGAATCCTTCTGGTGGGGCATGATATCACCGACATATAAGAGCTAGGGCGGCGAGCATGATTGTCCTCGGGTTCCCCTTCTTGCCTCCCTATGTGAACTAGCAGAATCCTGAATATGATCATGTTCTAGGCCATACAAATGAGTAGAAAGAAAAAAATATTAATGCCTCGCAGCTCTCGTCACGACCTCTCAAACCCCTCAAAATCACTCTCCCCGAAATCATAACGCAAGTAACATCCTCCGACAAACAACGATTCGCCCTGAAGCCCCTTGATCCCGCCTCTTCCTCCACTTCAGCCGACCAAGCTTCGACGGAACCTTCCGCCTTCGCCGCCGCAATCTCCCCTGATGCTGACCCTGCCGACTATCTTATCCGCGCAACCCAGGGCCACACGATCAAGTTTGACCTGGAGGATCTAATCACGCCCATCACCCCTGAAAACATGCCCGGTCTCGTTGTTCATGGCACAGATCACCGTGCATGGACGCAGATCCTGACGAGCGGTGGATTGAAGCCGATGGGGCGCAACCACGTGCACTTTGCGACGGGCTTACCAAAGGGATTCACAGAGCTGCATGACGATGGGACGAGCGCAAAGGACAGTCAATCAGATGACACGGCACCAGTCGTGGTATCGGGAATGAGGACGAGTAGCACGGTGCTCGTATACCTGGATCTGGAGAAAGCGATGGCGGCAGGGGTGAAGTTTGGGATCAGTGAGAATGGCGTGGTTTTGAGCGGGGGCAATGAGCACGGAGTAGTGAGCGTGGATTTCTTCCAGAAGGTCGAGGATCGCAAGAAGAACGTATTGCTTATGAAAGATGGGGTGCTTGTGGGTGAGAAGTAGATCAAGCTGGAGACCAATTACATCCTATCAAATACAGACTGAAAGAGCAGTCTTAGCGTCCTCGGAAGCACACACACACACACGCAGGAGATGCAGCAACAATCTCGATTCGCCCCATCGTCATCGTGATCTCGCGCGTAGATCTCACAGACACTGCGAATAGAACGCATTTGAGGCTTTACACGTTCCCGTTGCGCAGCATGTGGCTCCTGGCCATCCTTGCCCTCCGCACTGACCATATAGAGCGGCACACTATGTCACTGTCAGTAAGTATGTATAGTCACCCCTCCATTCAGAAGATAATGACTTACAGAGCCACCACCATCAGGAGGAGAAGTCGACGGGCTCGACGGCGGCGCAGGATCAGACGGACTCCCACCCACCCCCTCCGACACCGTCACCGTCGCACTCCCACTACTAAAATACCCCTCCGTCGCCACAATCTACCACTCCAATCAGCACAAAACCCCAACACCACACAAAGCACCCAGCACGTAAATGTAATCAACCAACCTGATAATTATGCTCAGTCCCAAGCCTCATGCCCAGCTTCGCCCACGCCTCAAAATGCCTCGCCACATCCACCGTCCCGGCGGAGCGCTTCGCACTGCGCACCGACCAGAACTGCTGAAATGTCCGCGTGCCGTCTATACTCGGCTGGTTCGTGCGCGTCGTTTGCAGAATTTTGTACGCGCTCCCGTCTGCCGTGACGCTGCCCTTGGCCGTTGCGGCGGACGACGGGTCGTACGTGCCGTAGTTCTCGACTATGTAGTATTCGATTAGCGGGTTGCGCGTCCAGCCGTAGATGCTGAGGTAGCTGTTGCCTGTGGGCGTGTAGGCGGCTGTGTAGCTGATTGCTCGGCTGTTGGAGGATTTGTCATTTATGTTAGTTGTGGGTTGTGTGCTGGGTGGTGTTTTCGTCTTGGAGGAAGAGGGGGAGAAGGGGGGGCATACGTGTTGCTGCCCGGGTTCCAGCCTTTGCCGCCGACGAGGTTGCCGCCGGGGCCCCATTTGATGCTGTATTGGCCGCCTGGGCCGTTGGTGTAGGTTGCGTCGGCGCCGCCGTCGGTCCACCAGGAGTAGTAGAAGCCGTTGTTTGTGCCAGTTGAGCTGGGTGTGCCTGCTCGGGGGGATATTGTTTCGTTGAAAGAGGCGTTGGCGTCGATGGGGGAAGCTGAGCTTTTGGCGATGAGGAGGCCGAAGGCTAAGAGGATGCTTGAGGCGAGCATCGTGTTGGAATTTCAGTCTGATTGTAACTTTGGAGTGCATGCCCTTTTCACTTCGAGTCGTTATTTTATATCCTTTTGGCACGATACACAATGAAGCATGCCAAGCACCTGATATATAATATAGGACTACGGGTAAATCAGCATTATCAAGAAGTAGTATATCCGCGACCGGACTGTTTGACTGCGCTCTCGAACTCCCGGCGTATCGCACATCTGCCGCTAATTTACCCGCCAGAGCACATCAGCCTGATTGCCGCCATGGATCACACGACACACAAAGACCCCTTCCCTTTACTACACCAGAAAGTTATGTTGGTAATTCAGCATCGTCGTTCCGGAAGCCGTGCGCGCTCTTGAAAGAATTCTCATCTATATAGACAAAGGTCATTCTGGATAATCTATACTGATCAGCCTAATCTTATGTGTTTTATATGACCACAGACAGACTCTTGTATGGTTATCTTGGTTGGCACTATGCTTCTCATGCAACGCGCCCGGTTCCCTGCGCCTAATGATACAACATACACCAACGGCTTACCACTACCAAAGTCGCCAATCATCTCACTCCTGACTGTCGCACGCTATGGGCAGTGTGGAGGGAAGGATTGGTCAGGTAAAATAGTGCGCGCAACCCGGTACGTATGCAAAGCAGCGAAAGCGCATTATTCGCAGTGGCTGTACTAGAGGCGATGGTACGCAAAAGGGGGTCATAAATGATAGTGATATGGTGTGAGATGATGATAGATCACATTCTGAAACAAGTATGTACTTACCGTATACTGTAAATAACTAGCTTAGTGCTGATTACTGCGTAGAATGTACACTTATGTAATTGCTATGATTGTATTACTCTGATAGCGTGCTATTCATGTGAGAGGATGAATATTGGAGATCTGTAGACAGTGGAGTCGAAGTGACACACGAACGCATGAAACATACTTGCGATGTTGTCAAAAGATCAAGATGGAACGATAACTATTTGAGAGAATAGGATAATACTGTACGATGCATCTCAAGTAATACATTGGAACAAAAGCCCAATTATAGCAAACATATGATCATTTTGTCTTTCAGCACCAGGGAAGCTCGGGTACGAACTTTAACCCTGAAACTATATGCTACAGCCATGCTACTACCATGTATCTATCCCTGCTCAACAGAGGCGCCGATCGCTGCAAGGATTTCTTGAAACCTAGATATCGAAACAAAGTTGTTTCGCTCCTTGCAACTCTACAAGAACCTTGGTACTTCGCAAAGTTATCGAGCTCAGGTAGCAAGTACGCGATGTATACCCTTACGTATCATATGCCACGCGTCTCGAGTGATCGGAGTGAATAGCACAGTGTTGATATGGGCCAGCATCACAAATATGCACGATGACGTTCCCTTGACATCCCAGACTGCCCTGGCGCCCGCTACGTCACCTCCCGGCAGCCTTTGCCGGAACCGACGTGGCGGCCAGCTACAGCGATGGAGGCTTGACAACAAGAGTTAGACAAGCAATCTCTCCGGTCTTGGCGCCAAATCAAGCGTCTCTAGCTAAAAAAGAAAATATCAAGACGTCTGAGTTCGAAACCCAGGACGACCGCAAGAATCGCTAGGTCGGCCGGATCGCAGATGTGCCGGGATCTTCTTAGGTATTACTACTAGCAATCGACGTTCAATGATGAATGTCTTTGCTAGGTCTCCAGATTCGAATGTTTGAGAGAGCCGCCAACAAGCGAGCCTGTGATTGGGAGACTGACGGGGTAAGCGGCATCAAAAAAACGTGCATAATCGTGCTCGTGCCATCACCAGCGCCTGCAGATCTCGATACTCACACGGAGTTAATCATGCAAAACGCGCCTTCTCTCTCACTCTCACACGACAATCCTAGTCCCCTGGTCCACTTTCCCATGTCACACGCATCCGAATCTCCCATGCAGGCAGGCTTGGTTTTCTTCTTCCTTTTCTTCTTCCTCTCCTCATCATCAACATCCCATCTCGTTTCCCACAGATATCCTTTGCGTCGAACAGGCTTCGCTGCTCTATCAGAGGGCGCTGCTATTACGACTATTCGGAAATAGTCTGTGCGGTATCTCTATCGTCGGATCTTTTTATCGCTGTCGGACTTTATTGTGCTAGCCTTCTCTGTTGTTTACCCAGCCTTTTGTCGGAGCTTGACGACACACGAGTTCTTCAAATTCGAGGCTCGGCCTTGTTTCATCGTTCGTGCTCGTCGATTCGATTCGTATCCCTGTATACTCTACTCAGCAACTGCATTCATCGATCGAGATGGCACCAGTCATATGGGGTCTGCCGCTGGACGAGATCAAATGGGGCAAGTTCAAGAGCTCGTACATGTGGAACAATCGGTACCACCTTCGCCGCACAAAGTTCATCGTCTACCAACTGGCCATGATCTTCTCCGTCGTCGGTGAGAGTCTTGGGACTGCTGTCCTGTCCGGTATTACCACCCAGCCCTTACCTCAATCTCAGGCTCCAACCCAAACACTCGAGTACGAGACTGACGGAATATGCAGACTACCTCGATGAACAGTCGTATGCCTCCGCTGGCCACCCTGGAACGACGATTAAGAACAACGATATTGTCGGCGCTTTCGCATTCAACATTTTCGCTGGCGTCTTCGTCGCGTTTGTCTTTGGTGCTGCATTCTTCTTCGATCTGTTCTGGCCCGAGAGACACGAGGATCGTGGCATCAAATTGGCATGGAAGTATTGTGCTATTGCCTCAGCTGTGTTTCAGCTCGCCGCTGTGCTCTGGACCACCGTGATTGTCTCGACTCGTGAAGCTGTTTTCGTAGGACCGGATGGCGAGCAGCGCAATGTCCTCAGCGTGTGGAAGACAAGTCCACTGTCCTACAAGAAGAATGCTAGGGCAGTGGCTGGGGTTGTATTTAGCTGGCTGGGACTGGTCTTCATTGTTGTCAGGTATGCATTTCTCGGCCCTTGCCATCCCATCTCTCAACTAATTGGTAATCCAGCTGTGTTGTAATGTGGAAATGTTACGCTCACAACGACGTTCATGGTCCGCTCGCCGATCACATCCGCAAGAACGAAGATGTCGAGCCTGGAACCAGTGAGAAGGCCAACTCGGAACCTACAATTGCCGATTCCGCTTATATACCCGCAGGCATCGAAGAGCCCGCGCCAGCACACACGGTCGCCTCTGAGACCTCAAGTTTCGGGCCTCCAGCAACACTTGACAGTGTTGTTCAATCGGATCGTCAGGCTGAGCCTTACAACGTTGCAACCGCTAGTACACTAAACGGAACAAAGTATGTTCTCTGAGACGTCAGATCGGATCAATGAGGCATTGCATAGGGAATAAAGTTCTCGGAATTCACTGTATCATTGGATTTGGGCGGCTGTGATACAATATCCGCGCGTGTGCTGCACAATCGGCGTTGGGTGATGCTCACGTGTGCGTTAATTGCGTTGTTTCTTTCCACTGGATTGGTTGATACCCTCAATGTATTGATGTTTGTAAGCAAGTAGGTATGACAGTATCACTTGTTTCACACCATTGTGATTTTGCTGATTCGTGTATCGTCTTGCGTGCACTGCGGTTATGCGTGCACTTTATTTTGAACACTTTGAGGTATATGACCTTACTGAATGCAGAAGTCTCCGTGTCAAATGAGTCTTCTACTGCTTTTAATTCATGTTCGCGACGACTGCTGGTCAAGACGCTGGTAACAACAGTCCAGGGGAGTCGTTTCCCGACGACGCCCGCCAAAAAACCTATAAACCACTGGACTTTCAAACAGTCCGTCGATCCGTCAAGACGCGCACGATACTTCCTGTACCAGCGATTTCTACCAACTGCGATTTTGTTAATTCTCCAGGTTAGCCCATGAACTTTTTTTTTTTGGAAGAAAAGATAAAAGATGCATTTGAGCCAAAGCCCTGGGACGGGCGGGGGGTAAAGGGCGCGTCATATGTAGCAAAATTACCTTTTCATGCCAACTCAACAACACACTCATAGCTTGTCCGCCTCCCTCGCCTCCGCTTCGTCCGCTGATCTGGGAGAAGCCGGTTGGTTGGGGCTGGATGGCTGGCTTGGCGGCGACGGACGTGTGTTGGGCCATGCCTTTGTAGCTGGTTGTGGGAGGTCAGTGTGTTTGCTTTGCTCGAGGGTTGGTGGTAAGGGGGTGAGGAGAGGGGAAGGGAAAAGGAGGAAGCGGGTGAAGAGAGGGAAAAGGAGGGATTCTAGCGGACACGTACATGTACTTCATCAACACATCCAGCAGCTCGACGCCGCCGTCCGAGGCATAGATGCGTTGCAGGATCGGACTCATTTCGGCCTGGCGGATGCTCTGTAGGATCTCGATGATGGTGCCGAGGTGGGTTTCCTGCGCGATGCGTGTGTTAGCGAAGTGGGCTTTGTGTGCTAGCTTGATGTGCGAGTGTGCAATTTGGACGTGCGGAGCTCGTGATACCGCGACGGAGGGCGCATGCGCGTGCGAGATGTTCTGGAAAAGCAGGACGACGAGCGTTGGGACGTCGAGCACACGCACACGCACCCGCGAGCCAGGGCGTGTGTGGAAGACACATCCAATATTTCCAGAAGCGTCGCACACAGTCCAATCTCTTCTCTCGTGCCATATCCGTCCAGAACCTCCTGATGTCTGTCCCCCCGAAGCCGCCAGTCTTCCAGAACATCTTCCCCGATTCATTCCCCCTGATTCCGCCACGATGCCCACTCTTTCGTTGCTTGCCGCACCCCAGCATACCACCCCTCCATCTGCACCGACATGGCAGGTTTTCGAGATCCAATAGTGGCTGAAGGGGGGGGGGAAAACAAAGAGAAGGGCTTTACTGACCTTCCCCTTTGCGTCGGCCCCGTACGGCACACTTTCCAATGCGCCCCTCAGCGCGCCCTCTGCGTCTCCTCCGCGCAGCAACTGCCGTATCTGTGTGCCCAGGCTTGTCACGTCCGCGGCGCTCACGGGGTCAACGGACGGTGCGAGTGCGGATACGTCGAAGTTGTAGGGCGAGTCTGGGTCTAGGGCGTCGATGTTGATGGTGCGCCAGTTGCCGCCGCCGGCGGCGATGGAGGTTGTCATTCTGGGTTGGGATGCGGCGGAGGGATGTCCTCAGCGAGACTTCGAATGGGGAGACGTTGGGAAGATGGGAGGGCGTGCGCGTGTGCGGAGGATGATGTTGTGTAGGTTTTGTATGTTATCGTGGTTTCGACTGAGCTTTAAAGTTCAAGGTGTGGTGCCAGGTTGGTGGGGGTTGAGGTCGATCTTGGCCCTGCCCGGAATGTGGGGAGGGATTGTTGGCCTCAGGCTCTCAAACGTTAGGTCTAATATTCAGTGAATGTTCTGTTCTTAGATATATGAGTAATGATTTATAGTAATCTTGTATATTGACTTAGTATACTTGATACCTACTGCACTACACCCGTTGATACGAAGTCACATGTCGCATGCGTAAGCACTTGGAGAGGAGCAACCTCACATGATTACACTTGACAATACACATAGGGACACTGGTCACACTCGATCGACATGCAGACAAATATATCAACTCTCATAGTGTAGTGCTACATGATATAGAATCGTGCTAACCTATTAGTGCTATATAACAAGTCTTTACCCTCTTGGCCCTTATTTCTCGGCACTTTGTTACTAGCGCCGTTTTCTTATTGAAGAACCTAGATCACTTCGGTTCGGGCTGTTTCAGGTGTTCCTTCTCCGGATAGCAATAATCGTCTCTGGTTTGCATGGTCCAACCGTAACTTGCCTTCCATTTATATATCGAGATATAGCCTAAGCCGTTTACGCCGCAGAACTCGATGATCAACCGCCCTATGAGGTCGAGAGAATCATAATTAATCTCTTGCCCCTCGCCATAGTCACAAGCATAGGCGAAGGCAAAAGTAGACTTCTCAGTGGGGATCCTGTATTTCTTTGAGGTTCTCCTACCAAATTCCTTGATGTACGGATCTCCGGTCTCGGGGTCTTTGGCCCACTCACGTAGGTCGTCTCTGGCTTGCTTAACATCTTCCTCGTGCACTGCTATGCCATTGCTATGTTCGCATACGACAATTCCGCCAAGTAAATCGTCATGAAATTCTCGGCCCTCACGCCAATGTGATAATTCTTCAGCTGAAATGACTTTGCTTGCGACTTTCGCGTTTGTTTGGTGAGGACTCGTCTTGAAGGGGACGCGTATACTGGTGACGGCCACGAAATTACTGGTGAAGGCCACCAAAGCAGCAAGTACGTTCAAAAGACGCATAATGAGGACAAGGTTTGGGGCTCAGATGGCGTTTGAATTTTATCGGAGGTATAGCTGCATCGGAGGTTGAATCGTATTGAAGGTTGATGTGTATTGGTAGTCGATATGTATTGAGGGGTTGATATGGCTTGTAGGTCAACCTGAAGCGGAGATCGGTTTGTATCGGAGGTCGACTCGAATCGGAAGCTGATATGTAGAGGAGGCTGTTATTGTGCAGCGCAGGGTGAACTGCCCAGACGAAGAGAGACCGTATAGGATCCGTGGCAAGTCTTGGACAGAATTTCATCCCTCTTTATAAGAAAGGTCACCAGCGATGGGGCCGCGACCCAGCCCTGTGAAAGTTGCTCTATTCCTATAGTCGCAGTCCCGCAGTGCCATCGTGGTGCTCGGACGATGTCCGCTCGAATAACACGAGGGTAGCATGACGTTTGTCGAGTTGAAACGGTGACGGGCCGTTTGGATGTGTATTTAAAGAAACATGGTAGTTTTCCAGCGGGGAGGCTAGGCACTAAGGGTATCTAGCATGAATGGCACGAGAAACCATGCGATAGGCTCATACGACATCCTCACTCGCAGGTTAAACCAAAAGGAGATTAGTAGAGTGATTTAAGCAGATTCCTGCTCCACCGCTCTAAACTCGCAGAAGAATTCTTTAGTATAAAGTAAGTCCCGCTTTGTTCTGGAATGCCTTTTGCGACGCTCCATGTCCTCGACACGTGCGCAATAACACTTCCCGGACGTCGCATCCGATCAGGAAAGAAAAAAAAAGATACACATCTTCCCCCTTGTAATATCCCTCAATTCCAATGGACGAGCGCTTTTTCTCGCATCATAGCCTGTCGCCTTCTCATCCAAGGCATGTCACTTGCGCAGCAGCATCAGACCGCCGCAACACACTCAACCAAGCCAGACCCCAGCATAAAGCCTCCCGAGTGTCTCCTTCTAATTTCAATTTCCTGATGTCCTCGTGCGTCGTCGTGAGACAAAAGTCTCGTCAAAAGGTATAACAGTCGCCAAGTCCCCCAAACACCTACACCCGTTCCTTTTTCCTCCTACGGCCTTCCTTGTTGCACCAGGTCACGAAGGGAGTCACACACATCCACACAGACTCGTCACAGTATATATATATAGGTATATACATATGCCTTACATCCATCCGTAAACATGTCCTTTCCACCTAGTAGCACTATGCGCCCCCTTCCCTTCCCTTCCCTTCCCGGTGTTACACACACGCACACACATACGCAAACACACACCACCCCCTCGCCTCTCCCCGCTCCTCCTGGGAACCGACCGGCACGAAACCGTTCTCGCTCATGCATGCATGCCAGGCACGACACCTAGGTCGGCGAGTAGTTTCCCAGATAGTCAAGGAAACCCACACTGCGCGAAAGAAAACGCAATATGTCCCAAAAATCACAATCACGGGGTAAGGTAAGGTAAATCTTCTATTCCGTTTTAGAACACAGCATAGTCCGACCTCTAGTCCTGTACGGGTTGCATGATATGTATTCATGTATGAGCCGTGAGGCACTGCGTTGCCTAGGGCCAGAGCTAGAGCCAGAGCCAGGGATATAATTAATCAGTTCCTCGACTGTAGGTAGGTAGGTAGGTAGGTAGGTACAGCCAGCTAGCCGTGTTGAAACACGTAAATCATCGGTGCGAAGAACGCATGCCGCTTTGGCTTTGTAGTTACCAAGACAGGCTCCTTTTTTTCTTTCTTTAATATTTCTTTACTTATCCATCCCGGCTTGGCCAAGTTACACGTTCGCGCCCGTTCCTACCAAGGTATGCATGCATGCATGCGTGTAAGCTTTCTAGCATCCATGAATCCATCCATGCCCTCCCTCCTTCGGCACCTCACACGAACACCCCACCCAACCGCACCCCACACCAACACCAACACAACACCATACATCCACACCACACACCACACCACACACCACACACATATGCAGCCCTACTCTCCTGCCCCTAATACCTCCCCTGTTCCCTTCCCCCAGTCCCAACCCGCACCATCAAACCCCGGAATAGTCTTACGATATGTAAGGACCTCGCAGCAGCAGCAGCAGCAGTAGCAGCAGCAAGCCTAGCCGCGCACCACGCTCGAAGGCAGGGATGGAGCTTGTGTGAGGGTGCTGGAATACGGCTGGAAGTATGCTTTTTGTGGCGTGTGTGTTGTGTGTTGTGCTGTGGTGTGTTGTGTGTATGGAAGGGTGGGTATGTGTGTGCGCGGCGGCACGGGGTGTTTGTAGGGCGGATTGGAATGTGTTATAGTTTCTGAATCACGGTGGTGATGAGGAGGGTGGTGGATGGTGGATGGTGGTGCTAGTGGTATGAACGGATGAATGAATTCGAGGGTTTCTCAAGCGTCCAGCTGTATTATATGTACTATACGAGTCGGCTATTATACCATATATCGAAGCCGTCTTACTAAGTAATATAGAACAAACTTAAAGCACGTGTATATCCGTCACCCGTGAGGTCAAAATCAGTCAAAATCAATCAAAAACACGTGTAATCAGTGTTGTTTTGAAGCCTGCGAGGTCAAAATCAGTCAAAATCAGTCAAAAAACACGTGTAATCAGTGTTGTTTT